ATATATATATATAATTTGAAGTAAAGAATTTGTTTAAAAGAAATTTGTTCCTAATTTTTGGTGCAATTTAATGTTTGAGTTTTGAATTATATTTTTAATGTTTTTTTACAGAAATCCTAATTCATTTAAAGTGGAGAAAACAAAAGAAAAACATAGAAGCAAAATTGATAAGAGCTGGCCCATATATGATAATGTACATCAAAAATATATGATGCTTGGTAAGTGAATATTATAATCAAATATACTTACAATTTTTGGGTCTAACAGTTGTGAATTTTATACTAGTAAAATTGCATTGACTATTTTGTTAACGTACGTGAATTATTTATTTTCTGCAATAATTGAAAATTAGTTATAAGAAATTCATTCGAAAGCTAAACAATGATTTCTGATTTTTATCTGAGAATGACATTTGAAAAAGATCAGTAAGGATTTTAAACGCTTTGATAAATATTATAAATTATGAATTCAAACCCAAAATTGATCCAAACATTATTGAATTACTGACAAACAAATTCTTCAATTTTTTAATAGTGAACTCTTACAGATATATTTATTTAAAAGCAACGAGAAATGTTCTTTTCAATTTGGGAGATACAAGTTTGATCAAATTATAATTCCTCCACGCTTTCTTCTATAAAAGGAATTAAAATTTGGTGGTAAGTTAGACATTTGGATTTTCAAAGAACTCTTACAGTTTTTTTAATCATTACGTTTATCTTTTAAAAGAGGTTTCTTATCTGGCTTGTGACAAAATCAAAGAGTAATAAATAATAAATGAAAAGGATTGATAAACACATGACTAAATTGTTGAACTTAACATATTAGGATCTGGTGTTCCCATTTTGGGAGCAAGTTCACTTTGGGACGGAAAGATATAGAGCGGTAACTTATTTTTTCAGTTCTTTGCCTTTTTTCTGCAAGGTTAAAACATTCGGCATACCAAATATATTGTAAGTATAAAATTTTTTCAGAAATATAAAATCTTTCGACAGCAAACTTTCATATCTTAATTGCATTCATTATCTTATACTGCCAAAAAAATTGAGGGCAATTTACTTTAAAAAGAGATGAAATAAAGGTAAACATATAAATTTTGAAGGAAGTTTAATTTTGTAAAAATTGCAAACACGAGCTCAAATGAGGCTTACATGCTTTTAAGGCAGCATTTTGAAAAAAAGAATATGTTTTCATTGTAGTCTTCAAAGCATTCTGGCCAATATGAAATGTTAAAATAAACGTTACAAATCGACAACAAGCTCTTCTTTGCCATCAAAAAGCTTCCTGTTTATATGAGATTTGATGCAATCTTCTTTTTTGACTCAGATAATTAGATTGTTTCTCTTTCATCTTTTCTCCGAAGCAGTCAAGCATTGACTGCAGAAACGTTGACCATGTGGTAAAAATATTCGCCTTTATCAATCCTCTGAGTATGACTATAGAGTGTCAGCTGCCATAACTGCACGATAATCACGTTTGAGGTTCACAATAAAAATAGCTTTATTTCAGCCAATAAAATCTCATAATTCTTTACTCATTATAATAAAAATGATGCAGAAAAAAGGAAATATTTCCAGTTATTTGATGTTTGCAAATAAGATGCAGAATTCGCGTTCCTAAATCAGTTGCTCTTTGACTTCTAATGATGAAACGAAATGGTTATTCTTAAGTCATCAGAATAAATTATAATTCTAGTATTGCTTTCTTTTGCGGAATTTCACAAACTTTTCTTGTTATCATAGTGGGGTACTAATTATTGAGTACAAGTGAGCATCCAGAAGATTTGAAATAGCATTTATTTCGAGTTTTTATTTCTAGTAATCTCATACGAGGTTTCCATGCATTAGAATGTTGAACCAAATTTGATAGTTATTAATAGAAAAAATCGTCTCATTTAAACATAAATGTCCTACCAATCTTCCTTTTATAAAAGCAACATTCTTGTTACAATGAAGTATCAAGTTTTTGACCTATCGGCTATCAAGAAAAAAATACACTTGCAATGTATACTCAATACCCTAACTTTTCCATTTAGTTTTCTATTTATAAAAATATTTATTTAAACTTTCTTTTATATTTTTTGAAATATTATGGGAGTATAATTCGAACGAAAAAATGCTTTAACCCTTTCTAAGGCCGTTATTAGTATACTTACCACCAATTTTTAATGTCTACGGTGAAATTTTTTACCACTTTTAATTTAGGTTTCCAATTGTTAATAACTTCAGCTTTCTTGAAGTGCGTTTGAATAAAATTGGTAACCATCTTTTAATTAAAGAAAACGTATGAAAGTTATAAAATACATAATTCCTCTTGAAATTTGTAGCATTTATAAAATTTATTTTATATATAACGAAAATTAGAAGACAGTAAGTTCCTAATAGGTCGTGGTAAATATACTTACCACCAAAAAATGGCATTAAAATTTCAATTAATTTTTTTTGAGCTAAATGAGTTTTTTTTCTTATATCAATTACTATTCTTATATCAATTTCAATTCCAAAAATACCTTAATTTACCTTTACTTGAAATAAATGGCCCAGTAAAGGGTTAAATGCATCATAAAATAATGTATTTTTTTAAATCTTTTTAGGGGTTAAGCAGAAGGTACGTGATCACTATCACGCTCATCGTCTCTCATACTGGTTAAATCTATTCCCAAAGCTCCATCGAACTAGATCTGAAAACATTAATCTCGAACACAGTTTTCTCATTGATCACGATAATCCATTATCATATGAAGGTCCTGTGAGAGAGGTTCCAGTAATTCTACCAAGAATTGTAACAAATGCTACAGCTAGTCCGAAAATTGTAACCTCAAAAAATGACACCAGTAAGGATACTGCAAAGACCAAGACTGTTACCACGGTGCAGGTCAATTATCAATTACCTACAAAAGATTTAAATGTGACTGAGTCTTCTGGATCAAGTATATTAAGTGAACGTTATTCATTGGTGCTTCATGCAACTGTAGGCGCTGGAATAATTCTTCTTCTTCTTAATATACTTATATTTGCTGGAATTTATTATCAACGTATTGAAAGAAAAGCTAATGCTGCATTGCGTAAGCGAAATTCAATGGTAAGTCTTCTGATATCAGTTTGCTAATTTTGTAATCAAAATATTTTAAGAAAATCCTATCCTTCAATTTAGCTAAGAGAGATCATCTTTTGATGCAAATAAATTAATAAGAAGCAACAATATTTTTTTTCTTTTAAATTTCTGTATTATCAAGCCAAACAACCGAGCAGAGGAGTTTTCGCACACAAATTCTGCACCTTCGATTCACATGTTAACCAATAGAAGTAAATATGGAATCATAACTTCCAGCTTACTTATTTTTAGATTATTAGGAAAAAAATGTAGTCTTAATATTAAAATTGTTTCAGATTCATTGATTGCAATTTTGTTAAATAATATGTATTCTGAGGAATTAACCTTGCTTCGAAATCATGATGATAATATTAATTTTAATTTTTCGTATTTGAGAATTAAAAGAGAAAAAAATATATTTGCATTGCTGATTTTTTCAATAAAAGGAATGATTTTAAATTCAGCATCACTAAACTAAATACATGGAATTCTAATGTTTCTAAAAACATTTATTTAAGCATTATTTTTAATCAAATGAATAGAGTTTAAAGAATTTGTAGTAACGATTTTTTATCCACAAAACAAATAGACAAATTCTTCTAAAATTTGATGGGAAACAATGGACATCCAACTAATGCTATTAAATATTATGTATAATGAATAATTTTATATAAAATTTTTATAAAATCATCAAGTTAATTGTAGATTATAATTTTTTAATGGATTTATTAAAAATTTCATTGTTAGTAGAAATTATATTTTCATCATGTGCAAATTCTATTCGTGCAAATCCGTGGCTAAAAATCGTTTAATATTCAACAAGGAATTTTTTTTTTCCATATATGTTAATAATTTCACTAAAATTATCAAAATTAAAATTTTATAAACAATTTTATAATTTAAATATTTTATAATAAAATTTTATATTTTTTTTATAAAATCATCAAGTTAATTGCAGATTATAATTTTTCAATGGATTTATTAAAAATTTCATTGCTAGTAAAAATTATATTTTCATCATGTGCAAATTCTATTCGCGCAAATCCGAGGCTAAAAATCGTCTAATATTTAACAAGGAATTTTTTTTTTCAATATATGTTAATAGTTTCTCTAAAATTATCAAAATTAAAATTTTAAAAATAATATTTAACTATTTAATCATTTTAAACTTTAAATTTACCTGTATAATATTATTACCTAATGCATATCCAGTTTTGAACCAATCCAAGGATATTAACAAATTAAATGCGGTTCTGAACATTAGTAAGAACGTGACAGTAAAGTCCCTAATAAAAAATTCCTCCCACTACCCTTTATTTATGCTTTTATTTTCAATTTATATAATATGGCAAACTAATTACGAAACTATTTTAACCCCTTCTCTGTCGGCGTCGCATATTGTACGTTCGGTGTATTAGTGCCCGTATGGTCGGCATCGTATGCCATGTGATGAAGAGAAAAACTCTATTATGGAAATTGAATTTGTTGCTACTTACATATTTCTTTAATACGTTCACGCCGGGGTGACCCACCGGTGGGTCACGAAAGATTGTCTCATCTTGGCAGCGCACCGGAGTAAAAACTGGTAACAATAAATTTAATTTTTTTAGTTTTTTTCCGGAAATAATAAAAATCCATAACTACCAATTGTTTTTGACGGATGCAATTTTTATATTGAATTGCTTCTTCGCCGTGATAAATTTCCTTACAGTGAATTGTTATTGTTGAGAATAGATTAACTCCTCCCGAATATTATCTAATATTGAAATAGTTCTTCTACCAGTATTTTCTCTTTTCCCGTACCAGTATTTTCACTTTTCCCGGCGTGAACGTGTTAAATAACTGGTCCAACTTTCTTCAAAATTTAATCAGTGAGATTTCCCACCATGAATTAAAATCAAAAACATTTTGTATTAACCCTTTGACAGTTATGAACGAGTTCAGCTCGCAATCGAATCGTGCTTCATAATGCACGTAAACGAGTTCCGCTCGGCGGCAATATTTCGACCGTAATGGTTAGTAACGAGCACTACTCGCGTAGTAAAATTTTTCCCCAATGCGAGCTGACGAGCTGAGCTCGTACGCCATTATTATTCTGCATTGGCTATGTTAAAAACGAAAAGTATGCAAAAACTGTTATTTATGTACTACGAATACTGTAAGAAATTTTTAAAACGCGTGAGGCGAGCTATCTACCGCATCCAGAGCTGCCAACTTGCTGCGCTTGGTAAAATAGTATTTCCCAGTGATAGCGAAAGTCAAGTTACTTTCAATTTAGTATTTTTCCTTTTAAGTAATTTTTTCACCACTAAATATCAAAAACTATAAGTATCATATAAAATGCAACGTTAAAGCAATAGTCTTTTGGTTACTCTATTAAAAAGTAGGCGTAACTGCCCTTCTCCAACGAAATTTGCTACCACTTTATTATAACAATTCCAGAAAGCGGAGCAGTTGACATTTAGTCAGAGAAGGGTGACATTTTCGGAAGAACGGCGGTGGAAAACAGCTGCCACTCTCGACTACTGTTTGCTCGTAATACTGCGCGAATTAATAAAACGAAAACTGCTCATTTCCCTGACCGTCAAAGGGTTAAAGTTTCTGCAATTTTTCTTCCCATTGTTTTACCGTAATCTGAAATAAATTATTTCAGTTTTGAAATAAATATGATAGTTACAAGCGGATTCCCAAGACTGATTGTAAAACTGTTTTAACGGTAAGGTTGGAAAAATATTTTCCAAAATAATTTTTTACCTTATTTTAATAATTATTTTAAGCAGATATTTATCTTAAACACCTAAAATCAATAAGCTTAGTTAATATATTATCACAGTGTATTTTTTAAGACGAAACTTGGGTGCATTGCAGAGAAAACTGGAGATCAGTGGACGGGACATAGTATATTTCACCAATCAATAGGTCAAGCAAAGCATTGCCTGCTGACAAAAATATTTTGCATTTTCGAATTTAGGATAAAACATATATTAATTCTCAGCAATAAAAAAGGCTTTTTTGTGGTAAGACATTCGAAAAAAAATCCGACAGAGAAAGGGTTAAATATTTTCTGCAGAATACCGTTAAGTGGAAGTAAATTTAAATTCTCTACTCAAATTGCTTTAATGTTGTATTTTGTGTTTTATTCGGTATTTTTCTTACATTCTTATTTTTTTAACTTTGGCTGTTCTATTTTGAATTTTTTGTTTATTTCTTTATTTTTGCTTCAATTTTTTTGGTGCTCCTCACCACACTGTTGTATTGATATATTTTGCGTTGGATATATTAATACAATGTTAGAAAGCACTCTCTTCTGCTGATCTAATCGTGTGAGCTAACGACGAGATTATATCTTTTCCTTGCTTTCTTATTTTGTTTGCAGGCTTTCAATTTTTAAAAAAATTATTTAAAAAGCATTTTATTTATTAATAAATCTTCCTCAATATAATTTTTAACTTCCTATTTTTAACTTGAAATTCTTAATTGTTCAATCGTTTCAATTGAACTTTTAATTATTCTATTTAATCTGTGCTCACAATACCAGAAATAGGGGCATTAATTGTGTGTTCCGTTTATTATAGCAAACATCATTTCAAGAGCTTCAAGTGCATCAGTCTGTAATTACTCATAAAAAAGCTGTAACGTTTCGAGATCCTCCATCATCGCTGATGTATCAGACTGGAGACCTTGCGCTTCAACCACCATCCCACTACAAACATCCTCATAAAGTGCACTTGAAACCTTGCACCATTCCAACACCTCCAGAGCTCTCTCAGAAGTGACCTTAACCGCAACTAAAATTCATTTCATAAGTGCTTTGCTGATGTTTCAGCCAACTTATCATTTGGCTGTCAACATTCATAATCCGATCTTACTGATGAACCAAGCAATTTAAGTGGTTAAGCTGCATAAATTGTTTACGAGAAGCTTTTGCTGCAGAAAGGAGAAATGGATTTTAAAATAGTAAGGGCTTTGATGTTTGTCAAAAACACGAATTTTGCTTCATGAAATTTCACGATTAAACTAGTTTAGTTCTCGAAATACCACATAGAAGCAAAATATGAATGTTCTGATTTTTATTATTATTTTTGTATCTAGATGCGTAAACCTATAAGTATTTCTACTACAATTTGTACATTGTTTATTGCTCCTCCAACTGCTGACTTAGAGCAATATCTCCTAGAAGAGAGAAGGCCTAAGTACGGGTTACATATAAATCAGAAATTCGATCTTTTAGTAGTCCAAGTGTAATGACATCTTTCGAAATATCCCCCAGTGCGCAACTTATAGCCTGATTGTAGTGGAATATTTCTCATTTCATGTTATGTTGGACAATTAAATTTATCCGTTCTGAGGCCTTCTTTCTTCTAGGAAGTGTTGTAAAAAGCATATATATATATATATATATATATATATATATA